TTTTGGTTTATCTTCCTTCTACAATCTTTATCTGAAAATTAATGACTCAACTTCACAAGTATACACGCGACTGTTTTCATCTGAAATTTACAAATTTATTTGAGTGAAACATCAAAGATAATTTTTTCTACCAGCTTTATCGGGATGTATACGGTTGACCTTGGGAATTGTTTTTCTGGTCACTTAGTATGTTATGCTTAAAGACGCGAAGACATTATCACGTCACATCTGAATTGACAGTTGCATATTTCTGAATACCATTCTGTACTTGAGCGAGAAGTTTATGGCCAAATTACGTGATAATAGTTGAGGAGACATCATGTGACATGGCAATAATGTGTGTGTTCCTGCCTTAACTGACTCAACATGCTTTACCTCTGTGTTTCTAGTATTTAAGTGTCTACGAGAGATATCTTTTAAGTTTTGCATATGGAAATAAAAGAACGCGGTAGGTAATTTTAAATGACTATTGTTTTTCGAAGTATTCTCCACGAAGATTAATACACATCTGCATGCGCTCTAACCAGTTTTCGAAGCACTTATACCAGTCGTTTGTTGGCAGATCCAAAACGGCATTTTTGAATGCGTCAACTGCTTCATCTGGCCACTGGAACCTTTGACCACGCAGACTGTTTTTAATTTTCGGGAAAGTAAAGAAATCGTTAGGACTTAGATCGGAACTATATGGAGGATGGTCCAATAATTAAACGTTTTCTTCCGTTAAATACTACCTTGTTTTTTGGGCTGTGTGCGAGCTTGCTTTGTCTTGGTGGAGGATGATTCTTCTTTCGGGGTTGAATTTTTCGAAGCTCGGTGATGACGTTTGGCAAACAAATAGTGGTATACGAATCCGCATTAACATTTCTTTGCTTATTAAGAGGAATTGCTGCAATATGACCCGCTTTTGTTGGCTTTTCTTCACCTTGGAACACCCAAACAGCCGACTGTCATTTATTTTCTGGTTTATAACAGTAAATCCACGATTCAGCACCACTAACAATGCTGTACAAATTTTTTGAGTTTCCGGTATTGTTGTGAAACTTTGAATTTAAGTTTACTAAAGAGTGAGGTTAAGATTCCGCTCGGCCTACTATGTTTCTATATGCAAAACTTAAAAGACATCCCTCGTATAGTATGTGTATTCAAGAAATACATTAAACCGAAGCATGTATATGATAAATTTCAAGCCTCGCCTCGGCGTTCTGGAGTCCGACCTCCATGAATATGTTTGGTTGAGTTTCTTTCTTGGATAAATGGAAGCATAATATTGGCTTCGGTAACAACTAACAGGATAGATAACTCTGCGTCTAACCAAACGAGCTTTCCTGATAACTGCATTCCGGGACTCTTCTTGTGACTTGTGCTGTGTTCCTGTCACATCACAGGCAGAGTTCTAGCTATGCGGTTATATTTCGCCGCTTTACGTTCGTTCTTCGATGGACGTCTGTATCCTTGATGTTACTTAGCTTGGATAATTTTCTGAAAGTGTACACATAAAATTCGATACGTCGGGATTGGCACAAGAATAAGAAATCGAAAAATATATCCCTTAACCACAAATTGTGTGGTAAGGGGAGATGGAATGAAAACAGATTCAGTTTATCTTTTGATTACTGCTTGCCAGTATCTCTCAAAATTGCAAGAACTCTACGACGAATTTTCTATCAACAGTGCTTCAGAGTCGCTGGTACTACACGGAAGTCAGCCGCAGATTGAAACCGATACCACTTTCAGAAATTTATCAAACTATTCGCTTATAAAATTAATATCCCTACGCCTCTAGGTTAATGTTTCACCCTTTGCCAGCCCCTAACCCCCTAACGCTTGCCCCCGAGGGAGTGCTGCATCCCATGCGGGCTGCTGTTTATGCGTAGCACCATGGGATTCAGCTCACCTTTGCGGTGCCATCAGCAGTGTGATCCAAACCATGCTTTTTACCTTTACCTTAACCTATTTACTTTGTCGCTTCTCGCTTATCGAACCTAATGCTACGTTCGGACTGACACGCTAGTCCGGATCGAGGCGTTTGTCAGGAAAATACGTATGAAAGTGGCCTGCTGCCCCTGAGACAAGATGCACTTCTGGCAACGCCGTTTCCACTGTTGATACGATCGCTGAAAGTCTTGATTTGTGAGGATCTTCATTTGCAGTGTCGTTTCTGCCTTAATCGCCTGCTCATCCCCAAAGCGCCGCCCCCGAAGCACCATTTTGAATTTTGGGAATGCAGAAATTTCTGTTCACTGTCTTTCCTGGAGGGACAATTTCCTGGTGAACAATGTCCCGAGAATCAGAGAAAACAATCAACATTGTTTTGCACGTTTGACCATGATTTTTTCGACTTTTTGTTTTCGGCTTCCCTGGTTGAGAAATTCCCTCCTTTCCTCTGCTTCCAACCAATCCTCGCAGCAAGCGACCCTCCTTGCTTTCTGTTCTGGAGTCAAGAGCTTCGGAGCGATTTTCGCGCACAAGTTTTTTCGTCAGAATTTCGTGGACGATTGTTTAGGGGATTGACAGTTCCTCAGCTATCAGTCTAACTGTCAATGGACGGTCTTTAAAAACACAGCCCCGAATTCGTTCAACATTTCCTTCTCGATGTGGGGGGCGTCCTGAGAGTCAGTCATCGTTCACAACTCGGCCTCCCCGAAACATTTTCAACCACTTGTTGGCGGTTAGTTCCTTGAGAGAATTGTCTCCGTAAGCTTGTTCTAAACACTCAAAGATCTCACGACCATTTTTGCCTAGGTTTGTAAGGAACTTGATGTTTATGCACTGTTCCTCGACCAGAAAGAGCTCGATGACGTCGGCAGAACCGCCGTGCCACCCCCCCACGACGCCCCGAATTTTTCATACGTATTTTCCAGACAAACCTCGTATAGTAATCAACAACGATTTTTCTTCCAATTGTTTAACTCTTTATGTGACTCCTCAAACTGCACAACTGTTAACCAGAAATTTCCTTCATGGTCGGCTTCAAGGAATGAGTTGAATCGTGATCGCGTGAACAGTCCACGGGCCTCGCTGGTTCGCTTTTACTTCCCACTGAAGGCAAAGCAAAATCGAAAGCGTGCCACGCTGTTGTCTTTTTGCCCTGCGAGAACGTAGCTTTTTGGCAGGAACACATTATTGTCACTTCAGTGAGCCAGCGGACGATGAACTATTAGGCAAAATCACGTGGAGTCCTGCTTATTTATTAATTTATTTCCAACAGGTGAAACGAAATTACAGGAAACGCTGAAAAAAATAACAATTAAAGAGATATGGTTCTTGGACTTAAATCTATAGTATCACACATTCTAAATAAGATTGGATGATCTATAGCAGTTAATAATCGATGCACAACTGTCACTGTAAATATCACACGATTCAGTAACACTGTTCATGACGCAGCACATGAGAAAATACTTTAAAGCTTTACGTTGAATGGCCTCAAGGATCACGACAGAATTTTGGTATATAGGAGACCAGATCAGAGTCGTATACTCCAACTTGTTCCTGACAAAAGTAAAAAATAAAGTCATTAATGTATCAACATTGGAGAAACCCTTCCAGTTTCTGATACAGAAACCAAGTAGTCGAGTGGCAGCCGACGAGATATTGAGTATATGCTCAGGAAACGTTAGCTTGGTATCAAAAATGACTCCAAGGTCTCTATAAGAGGTGCATCTGTCTATAACCTGACCATTGATGTTATAATTATCATAAATTAAATAGTTAACTTTTCTTGTATAAGTCATAACTTTACATTTCGAAACATTCAGACTGAGACAGTTTCGTGAACACCATGACGAAATTAGAGCTAAGTCATCTTGCAACATGACGCAATCCTCGACTGTCTTGACTGACGTGCATCAGCGAAAAACAAATGGAAACACTTCAGTTCAAAAGACAAGTCATTAATAAATATTAAAAACAATAATGGACCTAGATTTGACCCTTGAGGTACCCCGGACGTGGCCCGATAGTAACTCGACCTATGACCACCATATTCGACAAATAACCCTCTATCCCTCAAATATGAATTGCTGCCAGTATCTGTTTCGTTTTCGATGCGCCACCCTGTATGTATGTACATACATATACGAGTATGCAGTAACACAAAACCACGAAATAAAAAGTCACTGTAAGGTCGCGAAAATTTATATATTGTCGTTTGTCTCGTCTTTTTGTTTAAATTGGGCTCTTGAAATCGTATTTCTAATTTAGAAAGAAGCCCCAAAGACGCTGTATGACGACAAAACTTTTGAGCTGCTTGCTCAGAGTAATATCTTTACCATAATTTGGAATAGCATATGTTGGTACTGGAACCTCATCGACATCAGAATCTTCGAAAAGTTCTTATGTTTCAATTGTATTTTCAATCTCTTGACCTGAATCTGTATCTTCAACGTACAAACTTTTATCTAGGTTCATTCATCAATTTTAATAAATTCTTATTTTTGGGGATATCTGAACGTGCATTCAGTGGTAAGTCATGTTCTGGGTCAGCCTCATTTAACCGATCTTCACTTTACGACGTTATTTTTTTATTAACAGAAAAGCTGTGCCAGCAGTTTCAATGTTTACTAGCAGCCGTTTGAGTATTAGACTTGATAAGCTTTTTATATTATTTAAGCTAATGTCTTGGACAAAATCTCGCTTTGTTTCTTTTTTCTTTAGCCATTTTCCAATCTAGGTCTTTCAACCAATCTGTCATCCAAGCTTTCATATTGCAATTCCAAGTTTCAGTTATGTTAAGGTTTTTGAAAGCTCTGGATTTAGCTGCCTTACCAGTGACTAGTTTTTCTTTTTCACCCGCCATATTTACACAGTGCAAAGTCGTAAACCATTCTCTACATATACTTATAAGCTGTATATTTAAGAGGAAGAGAATGGGTCCCAGCATTGTGCCCTGTGGCACACCCATCTGAATCGGAATGTCTTCAGATTATGAATGTTGGTTATTTTTAGCGTAGTTTTGCAGGCAAGATTCGTTACTGATCATTGAAAAATATTTGTTTCAGGTATAATGGATCCCCTGTTTTGCGGCAGCGAGCTGGTTCCACTGGAACCACTGATGCAATCCGAGTACAACTTCAGTTTAGATGCAACGGAAGGGCTGGCGGACTTGTTCGACTATGACTTTCTGAATTGTTAACGGAATCGGGACGACATTTGAAAAATTTGTTTTTTGGGACCCAAAGCAGTCGTTGACTGACAAACTTACGATTTACGTGACATTTGAGAGAAACGTGATAGGAGAGTATAGACTATGCCTTGCGAATTATCGCGAAACAAACGTACTTTATCATAAAAAATACTGAGTGATAAATGAATTATGTAGCATATGGCAAGATATGTTTTTATAAACAGTAGATTGAATTAAAATCAAACTATTTAGTTATTCGCTCTGTATTTCAGAGTGCAGCACTGTTAATTTATCCAAAGAATAAAAATTTTAAACAATTGTGAATATCAGCATATTTATAAAAACTTCCAAATTTCCTTTAGGCTCCTAAATATGTACTTCAAATATTAATTCATCTTGAATCACCCATATATACGATTTAATCGATTTTATATAAACTGCTGTGGTTGCTATTATTTCATTTGATCAATCATTGAATTTTTGGCAAAACAATAATTAGTGAAATGTTTAGTTCAATTTAATTTGATTAACTACGTGATTACATGATTTCTATGCTTGTAGTTCCTCTGTTGGAACACTAAGGCCCACATTTATAGTCGATAGTTTTTGGTGACAATCCCCGAATGTCAAACGAATAGTCACCCTTTACACGCTTGAACAGATTTTCGAGTTTCGGAATTTTTGAATTTTTTGAAATTTTCATAATCAAAATTTTTGAAAAATTCGACTTTTGATAATTTCAATAACTTTGAAAAATTTGAAAATTTTGATAATCTCGAATAATTCTAAAATTTTGATTATTTTGAAAAATTTGAAAATTTTTAAAAATCCGAAAATTTTGGTAATTCAAAAAATTGAAAATTTTGCTGTTTGAAAAAACTTTGAATATTATCAAAATCTTTGAATTTTCCGGGATTTTCTAATTTCTGAAAACTTAATAATTTTGAAGATTTTGGAAATTTGGGTAGCTTCGAAAATTGTGATAATCTGCAAAATTTCAGAAATTTTGATAAAAGATATTGAGAATTTTCGGAATTTTCGAGATGTTCAAAATTTCGAGAATTATGAAAATTGCGAAAATTTTGAAGATTATCAAAATCTTTAGATTTTTGATTTTCTAACTTGATAAAATTGAATATTGGAACATTTGGAAATCTTCGAAAATTTTGATCTGCAAAATTTTAGAAATGTTCATGTTCATATTAAGAACTTTGAAAATTGCGAAAAGACCGAAAATTTTGGTATTTAACATTTCGAAAAATCTGAAAAACTCGGGAATTATAAAATTTTTGAAGATTATCAAAAATTTCCCGAGATTTTTAAAAATTTCTAAAACTCGAAAATTTTGATTATTTTAAAAATCTTGACACTATTAAAAAACCGGGTGTTAAATCTCCAGCTATGTGGGCCTCATTGAAATAACTTTTCAAAATCGATACTTGATAAAAAAAATTTCTAATATCCTGCATTCGCTCATTTTTTAATGTAATTTTTTTTACCTACGATATGAAATTATGAACCGATTTTATGCTTGTCATCAACTAACAACTTTGTATTTATTTGACCTTGGAATTGGCGTAAATTAGCGCGATTACAAGGACTTAAAATTCCAAATGATTCACATGACATTTTCTATGCTGTCCTAGTAATACAAGCGTTAAATGGGAACTTTGAAAAGTGAAACGAGACTGCGCATCTATACAAAATGGATACTTGTACAGAGTGATATTTTTGTATGTGGGATCCGTCTAGTTTTTGGAAATACAAGGAATATTTTCCTAATCTGTAAACAGGTTAACAGCTGTCCAATAAGACAAAAGTACGTACCTTTGGCGCTGATGTTATTCAAAAATATGGAATGTATCACAGAAATAACATGCCAAAAAAATAAAAATAATATTTGAAGTACTTCCGAATATATAAGCAATTTTTCCTTTAAAATAAACTTAAACTGTTGGGTACAACTTTTCTTGATGAAATTATTAGAGAAATCATATCCTGAAATGTTAGCACTTCATTAAGAAACACCCTCTATAGGCTGAAAGTAAAATAAACAATACTTTCTCTCCATATTATTAAAAAAGAACATAATGATACTGAAGAAATGTTGCATTAATTGTTATCAAAGCAAAAACCGTTTTTGAAGCATTCTGTGTTGCTATTCCATATTTTTTATCATTCGGCACCAAATATTTCTTTATCAAGTGTTTCATTGTTGTAATATTTTAAAGTTATGTATTGTATACCATTTGTTGGTAGATTCTTCTTTAGTTATAATATCGGAGTTTTTTTTATCGCAACATGGCTACAATTGTTGTCACAAGAATCTAAAAAATCTGCTAGAAGCAATCCTTCACTTTACATTTGAATATATCGATTTGCTTTGTGATTATAAATTTTGATACGCTTCGTTATTTAATCGCGAAATCTCACGAATTAAAACAATGTAATGTGATTTGCTAATATTTTTATCTGTAAAAATATGCAGATGTGTAATAAACCTGGAGTAAAAAAAATCTGCACACTTCCACGATCTTGATTTTCATTGAGATGTTTAGCATATTTTGACGCTTATATTGTTTCATTGATTCCATTGTTGAAACAAATTTTTCATTTCTGAAAGCACCCTTATATGAAGAGTCATCCCGTTGTTTTGAACTCGACTTAATCTGATTTCTAAACGTACTATTTTTACACAGTAATAATTTAATACTGTTTATTTCATTTTTGTAATCAACGAGACTCTTTAGTTGAGTTTGAAAACTTGAATTAAACTTGAACATTGCGAGATTCGCGAATAACATACAATCTTGTTACAAAATGCGAATTCCTGTAGTATTTCTTAGAGACTTGCTCAGCCTTGTACAAATTTAGGTTAGTCACCATACAATTTAAGCTACTTTGGGTTTTTGTCCATTTTTTAAATACGATACAGGTGCTAGAAACGTTTCCCTATATCAGAAAAAAAGTATGGAACTAATAATACTACTATTGTTCGTTATTGACCTTGAGCGAAATTGAGGTTGATCTTCACCTGGAGACCTTAAGCGCATTTGACCTTCACCACATTTGACCTAAATAATTTGCCTTAGCTTACATCGGTTGACCTTGACCGCATTTATCTTCAGGTGCGTTAACCTTGGGTCACAGCCCATGACCTTGGGTCACACAGCATGACCTTTAGTCACACTCCATGACCTTGGGCCACACATCATGACCTTTGGTCACACGTCATGACCTTTGGTCACACGTAATGACCTTGGGTCACAAATCATGACCTTGGGTCACACATCATGACCTTGGGTCTCACATCATGACCTTGGGTCACACATCATGACCTTGGGTCACTCTCCATGAACTTGGGTCACACTCCATGAACTTGAGTCACACTCCATGACCTTGAGTCACACTTCATGACATTGAAGCATTTAGCTTTGATCTTTTTTAACCTGAAACCAAGGCCAAGTCAACTCGTAATGCAATCAAATATAGACCAAGGTCAATTACACTTTACGGCTACGAGGCATGCAGCAGGATAAATTATATCAAGGTCAAATCCCCTTATAGGAGCATATTTGACCTTGACTTTCACCTCAGTAACTAGACGTATTTTGTCTTGACTTGCATATGCTGACCTTGAACGCACTTGACTTCAAATCTACTTGACCTTGAATCATACTCAGTGACATTGATGTTTTTACCCAAAGCCCTTCTGAGACCAAGATCGATGTTATGAATAATAGACCAAGGTCAATTTACGTTTAAGTTTACGAGGCATGCGACAGGACAAATTAGATCAAGGTCCAATCCCCGTACTAATGTATGAGCTTGTTTGACTTCAACTCGAGCGTCAGTACCTAGACGCATTTCGTATTAACTTACATATGTTAACCTTGAAGGCATTTGGCTCCAAGCGTTCATGACCTTGAATCACACTCAGTGACATTGGGGTATTTGACCTTGTTTTTTTAACCTTAAATCCTTTCCAGACCACCGCTGAGTCAGCTCGAAGTTATGAAATATAGACCAAGGTCAAGTTTCTGAGGAATGCGACAGGATAAATTAGATCAAGGTCAAATCCCCGAAAAAACCTTGAAGACACTTTTTCGATACCAAGGCTATGAGATCTATGCTAAATATAGTTAAAGGTTAGCAGGCTTGCGCCAGGACAAATTAGATCAAGGTCAACCGTATCCAACGCCAAATTCCCATACTAATGTATGAGCATATTTGAACTTTTCTGAAACCTTACAGACTCGACTCATTTTGTCTTGATTTACATCTGCTGACCAAGGTCAAGTCATCTCAAGGTTTTGCGATTATTCCAACGTCAAATGCAGTGTAAGAATATGAGTCATGCACCTGGAGAAATTAGATGAAGGTCTATTTGACCTTGACTTGCGTCCCAAGAACAGATCAAGGTTATGACAGCTTAAAGCTAGAAGGCATAAAATATAAACAAAGGTCATTACAGTTGAATGCGAAGATTGTGCGTCAGGGAAAATTAGATCAAGGCCAAAGGCGTCCAAGATTAAGTCTTCGTTCTAATGTATGAGCATATTTGACCTTGACTTGCATCCCAAGATCTCTGCGATTTTTACCTTGTTAACCTTGAACGTATTTGGCTTGAAATTGTGTTTGACTTTGAGTCACATTCGGTGTCCTTGGGGAATTCGACTTTGACATTTTTAAATCAAAACCCTATCGAGATTAAGGTTATATCAGCTCAAAGTTAGGAGGTATAAAATATAAACAAAGGTCAATACAGTTGGATGCTATGATCAAGGTCAAAAGCGTCCAAGATCAAATCTTCGTGTTAATGAAGAGCATATTTGACCTTGACGTGCACCCAAGATCTCGACGAATTTCATCTTGACTTACATTAATGTTAACCTTGAATCTTGATTTTGTCACACTGTGACCTTGGGATATTTGACTTCGATAATTTTAACCCCACACTTTGTTGAATCCAAGGTGAAATCAGTTCAGTGTTATGAGATACAGGCCAAGGTTAGGTCAAGGTCAAACGGGGTTTGGCACATCCTTGTACTAAAGTATGAGCATATTTGACCTTGACTTGCACCTCAACGCATTTTACTTCACATTTGTTTGACCTTGAGTCACGCCAGTGACCTTTACAACCTGAAACCCTTTCGAGAGTTCATGTCAGCTCGAGGTTATGAGATATAGACTAAGGTCAACCACAGTAAGGTCACGAGACACGCGCCACGACAAATTAGGTCGGGGGCAAAAACGTTCAAGGTCAAATCCCAGTATGAGAATATTTGACCTTGACTTGCATCCCAAGATCTCTGCGATTTTTACCTTGACTTACACATGTTAGTCTTGAACGTATTTGGCTTGAAATTGTGTTTGACCTCGAGTCACATTCAGTGTCCTTGGGGAATTCGACTTTGACATTTTTAAATCAAAACCCTATCGAGATTAAGGTTATATCAGCTCAAAGTTAGCAGGTATAAAATATAAACAAAGGTTAATACAGTTGGATGCTATGATCAAGGTCAAAGGCGTCCAAGATCAAATCTTCGTATTAATGAAGAGCATATTTCACCTTGACGTGCACCCAAGACTCGACGAATTTCATCTTGACTTACATTAATGTTATCCTTGAATCTTGATTTTGTCACACTGTGACCTTGGGATATTTGACTTCGATAATTTTAACCCCACACTTTGTTGAGTCCAAGGTGAAATCAGTTCAGTGTTATGAAATACAGCCCAAGGTTAGGTCAAGGTCAAACGGGGTTTGTCACATCC